GAGACCCCTCTGCAAGGGGTTAGGCAGTTATTTTATAGTCTTTGTTTAATTATTTCTATTTTCACAATTTCTTGTACGTTCATGCTATTGTCTTTTCTCACTTAGGTTCCTCTTGTCCTGTATGCATTTTACTAATCTGTATTAACCTGAATTAAATCTTTGGTTAGTCTATCAGACTTCCCAGGTAGCCCGAAATTTGGGTTGCACACCTGTGCAAGGGCTGATTTGTGGTTCCAATTTCTCAGTGACAATTCTCCTCCCTCTACTCATGCCAAAAGTTGACATAGTCAGTTTTCCTTGAGTCCATTGGAGGTAATAAGGAATTTTTATTTATACTTTACCTATATATTGAAGGCATGCCTGGTGGGAGAAGAATCTGCAATTAGACTTCCCACTGTGGAGTAGGCCTGGGCTTTGTTCTCTATTCTCCTTCCAAAAATGCTGTGAAAGTCAAAGTCATGGCTCACCAGGTTTGACAAATGGCCCTCGAGAGAACAGTGTGCTGCTCACTTTTCTGGGTTTCTGGCTTCACTCATGGTCTGGCTGAGGATTCCTTGCTTACTTTCTTTTGAAACTTTTTGTTGTGAATTGGGTTAAGGTTTACAGAGCAAATCAGTTTTCCATTCAACAATTCATCTACATTTTATTTCCTACCCATATCTACGGAGTACATACATTCCTTATGTTATTGTTCCCTTTATAGACATGTCTATTGTCTGGCTCAAAATTGAGTCACAGCGATGGAATAAGATTGATGGAACCTCAGACGCTATGGCCGTAAGTCACCCTTCAGACCTAGAATTGAGCACATGTATAAACCTGGTCTTTTCTTTATGATTTAAGTTTTGTTCCACATTTTTTCTCTCACTCTACGTAAGCCCTTCTAATGTGATTATTGCCCTCAAGTAGCCAGTGGTTATAGTCAAGTATCATGCCACTCCTCCAGTATTAGTCCTTGAAGCTCAGGTTCAGGTTCATTGGACTTGTTGTTTCCATGCGTGTTCAAGCGGCTATCTAGCTGAGAAGCAACAAAGCCCACATGGAAGAAGCACACCAGCCTATGCGATCATGAAGTGTTGAAGGGATCAGGTGTAAGGCATCATCAGAACCAAAAATCTTACCATAGTGAATGGGCCGGGGGAGTGCGGAGTGGAGATCCAAAGCCCATTAGTAGGTCACTGGAGATCCCCTTGCAGAGGGGTCTCAGGGAGGAGACAAGCCAGCTGGGTGTGATGTAGCAATGATGAAACATACAACTTTCCTCTAGTTCCTAAATGCTTCCTCCTCCCTCCCACCTCTCCCCACTATCATGATCCGAATTCTACCTTGCAAGTCTGGCTGGATCAGAGGATGTACACTGGTGTGGATGGGAGCTGGAAACACAGGGAATCCAGGGCGGATGATCCCTTCAGGATCAGTGGTGTGAGTGGCGATACTGGCAGGGAGGTGGGAGGTTGAGTAGAAAGGGGGAACCGATTACAAGGATCTGCATGTGACCTCCTCCCTGGGGGAAGGACAACAGAAAAGTGGGTTAAGGGAGACGTTGGACGGGGCAAGATATGACAAAATAATAATTTATAAATTATCAAGGGTTCATGAGGGAGGGGAGAGTGGGGAGGGAGGGGAAAAAATGAGGCGCTGATGCCAGGGGCTTAAGTGGGGAGCAAATGTTTTGAGAATGATGAGGGCAATGAATGTACAAATGTGCTTTACGCAATTGATGTATGTACGGATTGTGATAAGAGTTTGTATGAGTCCCTAATAGAACGACTAAAAAAAAAAGAAACACACACACAAAACTGTGGAAGGGGGAAAGGAAGGGAATAAAGAAAAGAGAAATAGGATAAAGGAAACAAACAAGAAAAGAAAAAACCAGAAAAAGAAAGGAAGCCAAGAGAATGGCAAGAAAATAAAAGAAAAGAGAAAACCTTTTCCATCTTGCTGTCTATTCATTTCTCCCTTTTTAAAATTTAACATTTTCATGTTGTTATTTTTGTTGTTTGTTTTGTTCTTTTGTTCTCTTGTTCTTGGGTGGTGCTCTTGCCAGCCGAGGAGGTTACAGGGTACATGGAATTCTGTTTAGATAGGCATGATCTGCCAGTTCAGGAGGTCAATGAGGGCAGATCAGGGCACCCAGTTCTGGATGGAGTTCTTGTTGGCCTAGAAGTTGCCTGGGGTCAAGGGACCTGGTCTCAGAAGGAGTTCCTTCTATCTCAGAGGACATTTAGGATATGTTGCCAGCTCAGAGGATGGCTGGATCAGGGTAACTGGACCCAGAACAAGTTTCTTACATCCCAGGGCCCAACTGGGAGTAGAGCACCTGCTTTGCTGACCTAAGGAGGCAGAGAGCACAGGTTTCCAAACTTGGGGTAACAGGAGCCTGGTGCCTAACCCACTATAGCATGCCTCTGATTTCAGGAGGACAGGGACTGAGCAGGGAGTGGGTCCTGGCTGCTGGGTGGGTGAGGGTGGGAGCAGACCACATTTCTGGCCACCATGAGGGTATGGGAAACAGGGGAAAGTGAATTTCTTTCTGGTTGCCAGTCACTGGTGTGGGGACTTGTGTGGTTTTGGATGAACAGAGAAAATTATAGAGTTTCATCCCAATCTGAATGTTGCTTGCAAAAATTCAAAATGGTGGTGCTATGTCAGGCCAGTTAGCATCATTGTTCCATTCGTTTCCTTGTTTTCCACTTTTATTCTACTTGTTCTCACAGTCAGTACTTGATTCACTTCTCTATCCTTTCTTCTGTAGCTCTGGGTTCCTGGATTTGGATCTGCTTCCTCTAGTTTCTTGTGTTTTTGGTGTAAAGGGTCTGGGTAGCCTGTCTTTCTAATTTACTATCTTGCTGGAGTCACTCAATTCCCTTTCTTTTCTGTCTGATTACTTTAAGAATATTTTAAAATTATATTTTATCCAGAATTGTTTGTTATTACCAGCAGTCTAGATACCCACCCTCTCAGATCCCTGGAAATGGAAATCCACATCATTTTCTTCTTATAACAAATCCACAACATTAATTACTTTATTTGAAATATGAGGATGATAGTGTCTACCTCATAGTTTGAGAGGAATAAGTTTTATTATACTGTTAATATCTTAATACTGTGCTTGACCTCTCAGTGTTTGCCCTTTTTATTATTTTTTTTAAGTGACACACTCACAGTCGTGTAAGTTGCTCTATCTTGCTATATTGGTATATAGTAATAATGCCATGGAATGAAGATATGAATAAGTTGAAATCTTGATAAATTGTTTTTCTATTATATTAAGAAATATCATCAGTTCTTTCCTTTTCAAAAATTTCCATTTCAATTGAGAACAAAGTGATTTAACATCATTCATAGCCCAGATCTTAATTGATAGAATGGTGGTTTATTGATACCCTTCATTACTTTGTACAGTTCTCGGGACAAAAACATTTGAACGTAATCTTGTACCTTAACCAAATAAAACTCTAAGGGGATATCCCACCCACATCCAGTGAATCGGTTCCGCCTCAGAGTGGCTGCATATAAGGTTGCCAAGGCTACAGAGAGTGACAGGAGCAGAGAGCCTCGACTTTTCTCCAGAAGAGCGACTGGTGGGTTTGAACTGCCGACTGTTTGGTTAGCAATCTAATGCTTACCTCACTGGGCCACCAGGACAAGATGAGCTTCTTTTACAAGAAACTACGCGATGTCATAATGACCATTCGCCATGGTCATGGAGTCAAATTGCATGACAAAGTCCTTTAAGAGTACCCAGATATGCTCACTGTCCATAATTTTTCTTCTCTTTAAAAATAATTTGCTTCCATCCAAGTAGCCACCCTCCAGAGTCCACTCGTTCTCTGGCACTTGACGGTTGGGATCCCTCAGGGACACTTCTTGAGCAGGTGCATCGTGATATTCTTCACGGCCAGCATGGTCTCTGTACACGTGGGCTTGATGAGCACCTCTGGCAGCAGAAAGCCAAAGTGCCCAGTGTCACGGAGTTCAAAAGCAAACGCATAGGGTATTCCATTTTTATAGGCCCAGTCCATTGAGTTTCCAGAGCTCACATCTGAAAGTTAAACAAACAAACAATGACCTCAATGCAATCAAAACTGAAACCAATCTTACTGCTGCAAATGGATTCAACCTCTGGTGTCCCCTTAGGAGAGAGTAGAATAGCTCCAGAAGGTTTCTAAGAGTGTAAATATTTACAGGTGCCTCATCTTTTGCCTGTGGAGTGCCTGGTGGGTTTGAACATCCAGCCCTGGAGCTAGCAACCTAAATGCTTAACCCAGTGAGCCCCAGGACCCATTAATCTCTACTAAAGAGTCTTTAATTTTCAAAATATGCACCTAATATCTGTTTACTGAATTATTCTAAATCTTCCAACTAAATACCACTTCAATAGGAATTATTTAATAGTAGTTCTATAGCGGTTTTGAAGATCCAGTTTAAGTATTAATACTTTCCCAGCATGATGGCCTCAAAATTACTCAATATGAATTCTAGCAGCACTCATTTCCACCCTCATTTATTCACTCATAAACAAACTCATTGTATGGATTGAATTGTGTCTCCTCAAAATATGTGTTGATTTGGCTGGTCCATAATTCTCAGTGGTTTTGCAGTTATATAGTGATGTAATGTAGCTATTGTTTAGTGAAGTTATTTAATGTCAATGTTGTGTAATAATATAGTCACTTCCCAGTTTGTAATCCCAGGACTTGCCAGTCAGTTTGTTATACTGTGGTGGCTTCTGTGTTGCTGGAAGTTATGCCACCAGTATTTCAAATAACAGAAGGGTCATCCAAAGTGAACATGTTTCAGCAGAGCCTCCAAACTAAGAACAGACTATGAAGAAGGAGCAGGCCATCTACTTTTGAGGAATTAACCCCCGAACATGCTATGAATGCAGTGAAACGTTTTCAGATACTGAAAATCTCACGAATAGTAGCTGAACATTGTCAGATAGAGTGTCAGAAGATGAGCCCCACAGGTCAGGCGGCACTCAAAATATGACTGGGGAAGAGTCTGATTCACAGTAGAGTTCTCACAATGGAGTCGGCTGTCATGACGTGGATGCAGTGAAGCCTCCTGGACCTTCATTTGCTGATGAGGCATGACTCAAGATGAGAAGAAACTGCTTCAAACATCTAGTAATAATTGAAATTTTGAATGAACAAGGTATGAATCTAGGGAAATTGGAAGTTATTAAAAATGAAATGGCATGTATAAAGATAGATATTTGAGGCATCAGCTGAAATGGAATAGTATCGCTATTTTGAATCATAAAATTGTATGGTTTACTATGCCAGATGACAGATGGGAGAGGAGTGGCATTGCATTCTCTATCAAAAGGAACATTTCAAGATTTATCTTTAAATGCAATGCTGTCTGTGATAGGATAATATCGATGAGCATACAAGGAAATTCAGTCAACACAGCTATTATTCAAATTTATGCACCAACTATGAAAGCAAATGAGGAAATTGAAGAATTTTACCAATGTCTTTAATCTGAAACTGATCAAACATACAATCATGATGCATTGATTATGATTTGTGATTGAAATGCAAAAGTTGGAAACAGAGGGAGGAATAGTAGTTGGAAAATATGTTGTTAGAAATGAAGCTGGAGATCTCATGATAGAATTTTGTAAGATCAATGACTTCTTCACAAATACCTTTTTTCAACAACACAAAAGATGACCACACATGTGGACTTATCCAGTTGGAATACACAGAAGTCAAAGTGACTACATCCATGGTAAGAGACAATGAAGAAGCTCAATATCACCAGGCCAAGGACAATTGTACAGACTATCAATTACTCATATGTAAGTTCAGGTTGAAGCTGAAGAAAATTAAAACAAGTCCATGGGAGCCAAATTATGACATTGTCCACAAGAGTCAAAATATGACATTGAATACATCCCACCTGAATCTCAAGAACATCTCGAGAATAGATTTGATTCATTGAACATTACTGACAGAAGACCTGATGAGCAGGGGGATGACATCAAGGACATCATCATATGTGAAGAAAGAAAAGCTCATTAAAAAGACAGGAAAGAGAAAACCTCAAATTGGATACCAGAAGAAACTCTGAAAACTGCTCTTAATTATAGGTTAAAGGAAATGGAAGAAATTATGAAGTCAATGAGCTGAACAGAAGATTTCAAAGGGCAGCTCAAGAAGATAAAGTATTATAATGAAATGTGCAAAGACCTAGAGTTAGAAAAAAAAGGAAGATCATGTTCAGTATACCTTATATTGAAATAATTGAAGAAAAAATCCAAGCTTTGAGTTAAAGATTGAAAGACTCTAAGAACAAAATATTGAATGATATAGGAAGTACCAAAGTAAGATGGAAAGAGTACACAGAATCACCTCACCAAAAAGAACTAGTTGACATTCAGCCATTCCAAGAAGTAGCATATTACTGAAGGAAGAACTCCAATCTGCCTTAAAAGCATTAGCCAAAAACAAGGCTCCAGGATTTAATGGTATACCAATTGGAATATTTCAACAAGCTGATAAAATACTAGAAGCACTCATTCATCTAAGCCAAGAAACTTGGAAAACAGTTACTTAGACAACTGGAAGAGATTCATATTTGTACCCAATCCAAAGAAACATGACCCCAAAGAATTCACAAATTATAGAACAATATCATTGATAGCACATAGAAGTAAAATTTTGCTGAAATCCATTCAACAATGGTTGCAGCAATACATTGAAAGGGAGTTATGGGAAACTCCAGCCAGATTCAGAAGAGGATATGAAACAAGGGACATTATTACTGACTTCAGATGGATCTTGGCTGAAAGCAGAGGATACCAGAAAGGTGTTTACTTGTGTTTTATTGAGTATAGAAAGGCATCCAACTGTGTGGCTCATAACAAACTAGGGATAGCCTTGAGAAGAATGGGAATTCCAGAATACTTAATTGTGCAGATCCTATACATGGATCAAGAGGTACCTGTGAGAACAGAACAAGGGAATATTACATGGTCTAAAATCAAGAAAGGTGTGTCAGAGTTGTATCCTCTCACCATACTTATTTGTCATTTACTGAGCAAATCATCTGAGAAGCTGAATTATATGAAGAAGAAAGTGGCATCAGGATTAGAGGAAGGCTTATTAACTATCTGTGATATTCAGATGACAAAGTTTAGCTAGCTCAGAGTGAAGAACACTTGAAGTACTTGGTAATGTAGAACAAGAATTGCCACCTTCAAAGTAAAAGAAAATAGAGGAAAGAACTAGAAGGCAAATGGGCATTTATAGAGGTCTAAATAAAGGCATGTACATATGTAAATATATTTATCTATGAGGATGGGTAAATAGATCTATGTGCATACTATATGGACATTGGGCCTCCACTCAAGTACTCCCTCAATGCAAGAATACTTTGTTCTATTAAACTGGCATTCCTTGATGCTCACCCTCTTGACACAATCACTGAAGACAGAATGAGTGCATAAGCAAATGTGGTGAAGAAAGCTGATGGTGCCCGGCTATCAAAAGATATAGCAGCTAGGGTCTTAAAGGCTTGAAGGTAAACAAGCGGCCATCTAGCTCAAAAGCAACAAAGCCCAAATGGGAGAAGC